TGACGATACGAGACGTGGGCTCCGTGCCACACGCCGATTTACTGGCAGAAGGCGTAGCAGGTAGGTCGATCTATTCGGTCTGTGATCTGTTCTCAGGTTATGATGAGGTACCGCTTGACCCTAGGGACAGGCACCTCACGGCTATGCATACGCCATTGGGACTAATTCAAATGATGGTTGTCCCTATGGGATGGACTAATGGGGTAGCCGTTTTTCATAGAGCCATTGTAGCCGTCCTCAAGGACTTCATCCCTGATAAGGTTGAAGTTTTTCTGGATGACTTTCCTATAAAAGAGCCAGTAGACAGGGATGAGACAGAGGTTATACCTGGAGTTAGAAGATTCGTCGAGTAGCACCTAACAGATATTTGCGTGGTACTCGAGCAGCTGGACGCTTCGAATTTAACAGTCAGCGGAACAAAGAGCTGATGGGCCGTCTCGACTATTAAGATCTTGGGTTTTATCTGTGACTCGAGAGGACGCCGAGCAGATCCGGCGAAGTTAGACAAACTTCTGAACTGGCCCTCACCGTTACATAGCCCAACCGAGGTCCGGCAGTTTCTAGGAGTGGTCGGTTATTGGCGTATATTCATACGGGGGTATGTGGAAAAGGCTGAGCCATTGAGGTTACTCCTTCGAAAGACTGAAAACTTCTATTGGAATTCTTCGCAGAAACTTGCTATGCAAGAACTTAAAGACGAATTTAAGGAAGGAGGACGCGTGTTGGGTGTGCCATTCTTTGACGATGAGACCGAGAGACCCTTCATAGTATCCACGGATGCTGGACCATGTTCAGTGGGTGATTTGCTGTCTCAGAAGGACGCTGGAGGGAAGGAAAAACCGTTAAGATTTGAGAGTAGGACACTTAATACGGCTGAGTGTAACTACAATCAATTCAAGAAGGAAGTGTTAGCGGTTCTCCGGTGTCTTGACACGTTCAGACACTATATCTATGGGCGACGGTTCATCTTGAGAGTAGACCCCACCGCGGTTGCCTCTGTCCTCCAAAAGGACTTTAGTCTGACGGACCCGACCATCGCCCGATGGTTAATACGGATTCGGCTATACGATTACACGGTTGAGAGAATATCTGGTACTAAAAATGCCGTGGCAGATGGACTTTCACGCATCCCTCTCGAGCGTCCGATAGTAGCTGGGGATCTGACAATGGCAGAGCCGAGACGCGCCGAGAGATTTCTAGTTAATCTTTACGAGGGCAAGTACGAATGATCGGACTACACCTGACGGGAGAGGAGAGTCAAGATTCAGATATCCGGAGGCAAGCAGCCCAGTACTGCCTTAGAGCGGGCCACCTTTTCCGAAAGCCAGTAGGGTCGGGAATGCCCTTACGAGTAGTCTGTGATCCTGAGGAGAGATAAACGATAGTTGCGGAACTTCACGACGGGGTAGTCGGAGGACACAGGGGAGTTAAAGGAACCTACGAAAACATACGCCGACTGTACTGGTGGGGTGGACAGTATAAGGACGTCGAGAGGTACTGTATGACATGCGAAGAGTGCCATAAGAGAGCTCTTGTGAAATACAAAGAGCCACTTCATCCATCCTATCCGACCAGACCAGGAGAGAAGGTACACATCGATCTAGTGAAAATGCCGAGAGGGGTACGCAATATAAACTACGTCGTGAACATACGAGACGATTTCACTGGGTTCGTGGACGGTAGACCTATCAGGAGTAAGGCGGCAAAGGAAGTAAAGAACTTTGTCCTACAGTACTTATCTAGGTATGGTTGTGTCAGCAAGATAGTGATGGACAGAGGGGCGGAATTCCTAGCCGACGAGGTTCAGAGCGTGTTTAGGAGAGCCGGTGCGAGAGTTTCGATAGCCACCGCCTATCACCCACAGTCGAACTCCCCAGTAGAGAGGGGACACCAGACTCTGATAGCGTCVCTGTCCAAGTGGTGCAAGGGTAAGGACAGTGATTGGCCACGATATTTTCGATACGCAATATGGGCGGATAACGTCACGGTCGGGCTAGTACCAGATACCCACCGTACACCTTGTGGTTTGGGCGACACTGTCCACTTCCCATAGAGTTTCACGTCGACAGCTGGACAACCGTCGACTGGGCGGAGGAGATGTCAAGAGAGGAACTCTTAGCTGCCCGAACGAGACAAATAGCCTACGGTTTGGAAGATGACCTCATGACAGCGGCAGATCGTCTGGTAGTGGAAAGGGACAAGGGTAAAGAGAGACGGGATAAGAACGTGCGAATCAGGAAAGAGAGGGTGAGCGTAGGAGGTATGGTCCTTCTCTACGATGCAGCGCTGGAAAGAACCTGGACCGGAAAACTCTCCAACAGATGGATGGGACCTTACAGAGTGGTTGAGGCACTCGACTGGGGTGCATATATGATAGCAGAATTGGATGGATCTAAGTGGAAGGACCTTGTGGCGGGCGGTAGGTTACAGCTGTTTAGGCCCAGACCCGCGCCCGCTTTATCCCTAACCAGCCCGAAAGGGAAAGGGAAAGCCATGATGGAGGATGGAGCCCCCTTGAGGCAATTCGAGGCAGGGGAGAGTTCCAAGAAAAGGAAAAGGATAGAGAAGAGAAAGGTCAAAGGGTTAGCTTTAGGAGGAGAGAAGAGATGGTTATTCGTGCTCAAGCGAGCTAGACGGAGAGTTCGTGTTAGACGTACTGGCGGGTCGACACCCTTCTCGGGGCAAAGACAGAAGAAAAAGAGGATCGTGCCGGGGCCAAAAACCAGAAGAAACAGGAGAGTCAAGAACCATCTTCTTAGCCCCAGGGCTCATAACAAACTGAAACATAAGACAATTAAACGCCGACGTGGGCGTCCTTTACGGGCCATCACCCTGAAGCTCATT